TGCCTGTCTTAGTCAGTGTTCTATTGCTATTAAGAGGTACCATGACCACAGCAACTCTTATAAAGGAAAGCATTTAATTGGGGCTGGCTTACAGTTTCAGAGGTTTAGTCCATTATTATCATGGTGAGAACTTGGTGGCATATAGTGCAGATATGTGCTGTAGAACTGATAATTCTGTATCCAGATCTGCAGACAGCAGGAAGAGAGAGCCACTGGGACTGGCTTGGGCTTTTAAAACCCTAAAGCCCACCCCCAGTGACACACTTTCTCCAACAAGACCACATCTCCTGAACCCTCTCAGGTAGTGTCACTCCCCGATGGCCAAGCATTCAAATATATGAGCCCATGTGGAGCATTCTTAGTCAAACCACCACAGTGCCACATATGTGTGCACGTATGCACGAGTGTGTCGATGTGCATGACGTTATGCGTACTGGCTTGTGGAGGTCAGAAAGAAACCTCAGGTGCCATTCCTCAGGCACATTGTTTTTGGAGATGGGGTTTCTCATTGGCCTGGGACTCATCAAGTAGCTTAGGCAAGTTGGCCAGTGAACCCCAAGGCTCTCCAGTCTCTCCACCCCACCCCTACCCTGAGATTACAAGTGTATACCGTCAATCCAACTCTTCTACATAGGTTTTGAGACTTGAATGGTCCTGATGCTTACACAGCCAGTCATTTGCCCCAGCCCTAACTGGGAAATTTTGATGGAGGTAGTTTTTTTTTTCCCCCTTAGGTGGGTCTGGTCAAATGCTAACATCAAGCATTGCAGAATTCTTAATGGGTATCTTCCACTCTTCCCTCATCAACAAGGATATCTATGAACACAAAAGTATCTGGAATTTCAAGTACTTCCTCCTCCAGATAAATTACGAGTAGCAATAGCCTTTCTTGACTAATAAGAAGTCAGAGCAGGATAGTGTTTTCTATTTCCGTCCAAAGGAGACAGAGACAGAGACCCACATTGGAGCACCGGACTGAAATCCCAAGGTCCAAATCTGGAGCAGATGGAGAGAGAGCACGAGCAAGGAACTCAGGACCATGAGGGGTGCACCCACACACTGAGACAATGGGAATGTTCTATCGGGAACTCACCAAGGCCAGTTGGCCTGGGTCTGAAAAAGCCTGGGATAAAACCGGACTCGCTAAACATAGCAGACAATGAGGACTACTGAGAAGTCAAGAACAATGGCAATGGGTTTTGATCCTACTGCACGTACTGGCCTTGTGGGAGCCTAGGCAGTTTGGATGCTCACCTTACTAGACCTGGATGGAGGTGGGTGGTCCTTGGACTTCCCATAGGGCAAGGAACCCTGATTGCTCTTTGGGCTGACAAGAGAGGGGGACTTGATTGGGGGAGGGGGAGGGAAATGGGAGGCGGTGGCGGGGAGGAGGCAGAAATCTTAAATAAATAAATAAATAAATAAATAAATAAATAGAAGTCAGAGCAGTGGGAAAGCCTGCTTCCTGGCTTTTCTAAGCATCTGGGATTCTGCTCTCCTATGAGGCCAGCTACTTATTCTCTCCGAGTTTCAATTTCCTTATTTGTAAAACAGCCACAATAATCACATTAAGGGGATGTTTTTGGAGACTTCCATTCTGCACCGTTAATTTTCCTGGAGCCTGGCATGGTTAGGCACTCAATAAATGTTAGCTCTCTCTTCCCCCACCCCCTACCAGCATTTGATTACCACGAATTTGATTACTTTGGCCTGAGCCAACTCCCTTAACAAATGTTTCCACCTTAGATTAAAATTAATTCAAAGACAGGGACCAGCCACACATCCTGTACGGGACTAAGAAAATGGCATTAATTTTGTAAATTAATAAATATGCAAATGGAAGCTTTGTATGGAATCAGCTATATAAGCAGGAAGTAAATTGTGTTGTAAATTATTCACTACCATATGGAACAGACACCCTTGACTTAGCATGCAAGAGAGAGAAAGCTGCCACAGACCCTGCTGTAATGGCTTTGGAGAGTGAATGACATGTTGGTCCCAAGGCAACCCTGGGGTTGTGGCTGCTGAGTCACAGGGCTGTTTCTGGAGTGGCAGCAGAAGCCCTGTGGTGAGCAGGTTGCTCTCCACCCACTGCCCTACTGAGAACCACGGGAGTCAGAATGCCTTGAGGCTAGCAGCAGCCAGATCTCCTGTGAATTGCCCAATTGCTTTGGTCCTACTGCTCAGAGAGGTCCCTGGCTGAGAGGGCTCTCCAGGGCTTCCAGCACCTGGCCTGGGGTAACCAGCAACACTAAGCTTCAAGGCAGGTGTGACTGGCCCAGGGACACAAGAGCTACTGCTAGATTGATTCATCAATCATTCAAAAACAAATAGTCGGAGAACAGTGCAGGTGTTCCAGACTGTACTAAACAGATGCTGGAGGGCCCAGCCTTCCTGTTAGGACCGCTCAGCCCTAGCATCTAGCGAGCTTTTTAAAGATAGATCCCCATGCTCCTGCCCCCTGGGATTCTGATGGTGAATGATCGATCAGAGACTGGAGAATCTGTTTTCCAATGTCTACCCCCTCCTTATAAGGTCCCAGTGACAGCCGAAGTATGCTTCTACCAAAGTTCAACCTGAGGGAACCAATGAGTGTATTGGTGTTACTTAGAGACCATTGATGAGAGCATCGTTGAGCCCAAAGCAGATGCACTGCAGAGCTTGCCACCCGGAATGGGGGATGCCTACCCCACTGTCACATAGCCAGAGTCCCCTTTCAGTTAATATCCCCACAGTTTATATACTCTTCCATCTCTCAGACCCAGAAGCCACATGCGATTAGGGCGGAATTGCGTAGGAATGGCTGTAGTGATATTTCATTTGTATTTTAATAAGTAAAGCTTGTCTGAAGATCAGAGACTAAAACAGCCACACTGGTCAGCCATACAGACCAGGCAGTGGTGACACACATCTTTAATCCCAGTAGCCACACTAGTTAGCCGTAGAGGCCAAGTGGTGGTGGTGCATGCCTTTAATTCAGTGCTAGAGAGGAATATAAGGTAGGAGGAGATAAGTCTCAAGTTCAGTCTCATTCTGAGGATTCCTGGAGGCTTGATTGCCAGTTTGTCTGAGGTAGAGGTAAGAGCCAATGGCTGGCTCTTTTGCCTTTCTGATCTTCAGGTTGAACCCCAGTATCTGTCCCTGGGTTTTTATTATTTGTGCTACAAATGGCTGGTTGGAGCAGGTGGAATCTCAAGTGAGGCTCCAAAGTCCCTCCCTATCTCTACCTCTCTGAAGACCGTCAACAGTCCACAGGCATGGGCTTGCTGGTCTGCAGGAGGGAAGAGCTGATCTGATGGCCATGGTTATGGTCTCACTCAGAGGACAGAGTTGCATTAATGCTGATGAATACTCAGGGTTGGGGATCATGGCTGAAGAAATGTTTTTCTTGTTGGGTCTGGTCTTCAAAGGTCTTAAGACATAGGGAAGAAACCACGTGTCTTAGTGACTTTCGTCCACTGCTGTGATCAAAAATCTTCAGGACGGTTTCTTTTGGCTTATGGTTTAAGGGGGATCATTCTACCATGGTGTGGAGGACGCAGGAGCTGGCAAGGGAAGGCATGGTGGCAGGAACAGGAGATTAGCTGGTCATTGTTTTAAACCTTTATTCAGGAAGCGAAGTGTGAACAGGAAATGGGGCCATGCTGTAACAGCTGAAGGCCTGCCCCGTTCCTCCATTACCCACTTTCTACAGGGAGGCTCCAATTCCTGTGCATTCCACAATCTTCTCAAACACTGCCAGCAGTGAGCCTGTTGGGAACATTGCCCCTCCAAACGACACCACTAGGGGCGCTGATGCACATCTGCCTCCTTTGCACCTGGGAAGCAGGAGGAGCCATCATGTGCCCCGTAGTGAGAGCCTATATCCAAAACGAAGCCAAAGGAAGGATGTAGGTGTGAAGACATGGTTAGAATTCTGCACCAAACTGTGTCTTCCTTTCTTCATTGCCTATGAACTTAGTGGCAGAGGAGGAAATGAGTCCAAAAAAGAAATGAAGACTGAAAGCGAACTCAGTTGATTGGTGCCGCTTCTGGTCGAGGGGGGCGATTGAGTTGAGGCCAGCTCAGTATAGCAAGTACAGATTAGATGCAAAGAGTGGACAAGGGACAAGGAGACGGTCAAAGTTGGAGGCGCCTCCCTCCCTAGCAGGTAGGATTCAGGGGTGACCTCAGATTGAAGGGTCAGGGAACCCAGAAGGGCCTGTCTGGAATAACCATTGAAAACGAACTTTTGGAGACTGAGAAGATAATTTGGTAAAGTGCGGCTACACAAGCGTGAGACCTGAGCTCCATCCCCAGAACCCACATCAAAAACGCGTTGGCCATGGTAGCACGCTTGGAATCCCAGTGCTGGGGAAGTGGAGACAGGTAGATCACTGGGGCACACTTGCCAGTCAGTCTAGCTTACTATGTGAGGTCCAGGCCACTGAGAGACCATCACTGGTTCTAGGCAAGCACTCTACCACTGAGCCACACACTAGTCCCTCACTGGGGGATTCTAGGCAGGGGCTCTACCACTGAGCCACACCTCAGCCCCTCACTGGGGGATTCTAGGCAGGGGCTCTACCACTGAGTCATACCCCAGCCCCTAACTGGGGGTTCTGGGCAGGGGCTCTACCACTGAGCCACACACTAGCCCCTCACTGGGGGATTCTAGGCAAGTGCTCTATCACTGAATCATACTTCCAGCCCCTCATTGGGGGAATTCTGAGCAGGAAATTTCCACTAAGATATCTCCCCAGATTTTTTAAATTTTATTTTTGTATGTAATCTAAGCAGCTTTGATTCCATCATGCTCCTGCCTCAGCCTTCCTAGTAGCTGGGATTACAGGTGTGTAGGCAGAAGCATAATTGGTGGTGATTAGTATTTTATTTAAATAATTGTTGCCCTAGGCCACAGCTACCTCCACAGCATGTCCGCTGACTCCAGCTGCTGCTTTTGTCCTCTGAGCCTGCCCTGCTTGTTCCACCTGCCATCTGTTCACTCATCCTCTCCAAAGCCTCTGATCCCGCGCCCTCCGCCTCTCATTGCCAAGATAAACATCCCCATGGACCTCCAGGAGCTAGCTGTGTTTGCCATCCCTGGAGATATCTCATTTTACAGCTGGGCAAACACCAGCATGTAAAGTTCATGTCTTAGCAAAGTCATGCCGTTACAGAAATGTCTGGGCAGCAGGTGGCAAAATGGTGTTGCCGTCAGAACCATATAGATAATCACGCCTTGCTGCTAATCATTTCCTTTCTAGTTCAAGTTCACAGTTTATTATTTACAAGGGGTGTTCACATGCATTACCTCATCCCGTCTTCCCCATAACCCTGTGTGGTGTGGTTTCATATAACGGCTCCGAGGTTGTAGAGATGGGCAGCATCAAGCTGATCCACTTTGGGGCAGGACTCAGCAGCAGAGTACATTTCGACCCTTGTCTCTTTTTAAACTTTTAATTTCCTTTTTTTTTTTTTTACCTTGTTTACCATTTGTTTTAGCCTTATTATGAAAAGTAGCAAATCTACACACCACACACCAAAATTAACAGTATACAACTCCCGTAACCTTCTGGATCGTCAGCGTAACCATTTGGAATAGAAGCTGTGGGACTTCACACTGGATTTTATATTTTCACTGTCAAATATATTTTATGTACTTATATGCTACACAAACCAAAAGTCCATGGCAGAGTCAGAACTGGGAAAACAATTAGCTTTATATCCTCTTTCATAACTCACGCCCATTACTTGGACTCAGTCCTTCCTCATCCCCCAATATTTAGCCTTCTTGGTTCTCTTTCTACATGTTACATTGTTCCCACATGCACACTTGTTTACACACACACACACACACACACACATTTATAATTGGCTAGATCCCACAGATGAGGGAGAACATGTGTTGTTTGTTCTTTCAAAACTTGCGCGATGTTGCTTAATATTTTATCGTCTAAGCCCATCCATTTTCCTGAAAATTTTGTGACTTCATTTTTCTTTAGATCTGGATGCATTCATTATACAAACATACATACATGCCTCCATACATATGTACATACATACATACATATTTGTCACCATCCATTTATACATTAGTGGACAGCTAGGTTGATTCCAATCTTTGTTATAGTTAATAAAACAGCAATAATTATGGAGATGCAAATATCTCTATGGTAAGGTGTGGAGTCCTCTCAGCATAGGTCCAGAAGCACAATAGCAGGGTTATTCTCTAATCAGAACACTGGAGCCCCTGCTACCCATCATTACAGATGACAACAAGCAGAGAGAATTAATCTTTACCCTGTGTTTCACTTGGAGAACTGGTGGGAAGCTGGGAAGGCAGAGAAGCATCATTCTGCACTATCTGACTCCCGCTTCCCGTAGTCAGCTAGCATACTTTATAGGATGTCTTAGATTTGTTTCTGTTGCTGGGATAAAACACCCAGACCAAAAGGAACTTCAGGGAGAAAGGGTTTGTTTTAGGCCACAATCCCAGGTTGCAGCTCATCTTTGCAGGGAAGTCAAGTCAGGAATGTGAAGTAATTAATTACATGTATGAATACACATGCTACCGCTTAGCTTACTTTCCGTGTTCTTCTGCATTTCAGGATCCAAGCTCAGAGAATGGTACCTCCTGCAGTGTGATGGGTCTTCCCATATGAATTCTCCAGTCATAATAAACTACCACTGTTCTACACACCCGCCATCCTTGTTTTTACCTCTTCACAGACCCACCCATGTGACCTCCTATACACTGCAACAGGTCAGAGAGCTCTGATGAAGTCACATATTGGATCTTCTCCGCTTCTGGGTGTCATTCCCTTGAGCAAGAGGGCACAACGATCACCCAATAAACCTTTGTTCACTGAGAGCCAGCAGTGGGCTAGGCCGAAAGGTAAGAGAGAGGCAGCTAAATTCAGTCATCTGCTCCCTCTCAACCTCCTTTAAAAAGCAATGTATTGTATTCGTTGAAAGTTCTATATACCTATAAATACACAATGGTCATGTCCATCCATCAGCATGTCTTTCCAGCCTCCCTGTGCCACTGCACCCTTCAGCCTCCCTGCTTCATGTCTCCATTTTTGTATTAAGTTAGTCTTGTCATATGAGGCATAGACAATCTGCCAGCGGCCACCTCTCCAAAGGAGATGACTACTTCCCTAAGCAGCCAACAGCTCTCAATAGTTCTTCTCTTTGGGGTGGGTCCTTGGCCCCCTTCCCGATCCATGCTGTTACTGCAACCACATACAACAACCACACTGTGTCCAGATGACAAAGTTTCACAGTGCTCCTCCCCCTCCATCCACAGACTCTTAGTTCTTTCTGCCCCCTCTTCCAGGAAGTTTCTGAGTCTTGCGTGAGAGGGAAGGGGAGTTGATACAGAAGACTCACCCACTGATGAGCACTCTGAGGTACTTTTACTCAGCATTTTGACCAGTTGCGGATCTTTGCATTAATCCCAACCCTGTAACAAGGAAGTTTTTCTGATCCCGTTTGAGAACAACTCAAATCTTCTTGGTCTGTGTCTTCCCTGCTCAGTTTCTGTCCTCGTTTGCTTTTGATGGTTGTGATAAAACAGTCTGACCAAAAGCAACCTGGGGAGGAAAGGATTTATCTCAGCATACACTTTCAGATCACAGTCCATTATAGAAGGAAGTCATGGCAGGGGCTCGAACATGAACTGAGGTAGAAATCATAGAAGAATGCCCATGGCTCACTCTTTGACTCTTGGGCAGCTAGCTTTATTATTCAGCCCAGACACAGCTATCTAGGGATAATGACGTCCATAATGGGCTTGGCCCTTCCATCAATCATCAGTCAAGACATTCCGACGACATGTCCACAGGTTAGCCTGATATGAGCATTCCTCAGATGATTCTTTCTCATTGGGTGATGGTTGTGTTGATATGACAAAAACAAAACAAACAAACAACAGAATCAACAACAATAACAACACCAAAACAAATAAGCACAGTCTCCTTAACTTCATGGTGTGTTAACTTCTTCTTGGATCATGGACTTGGAGGATGTACTTCCATACATTTCTATATCTCCCTATCCTTTGGTTGGTGTATCCCTTTATCTCTCCACCCCATGCATCAGTTTTTTTTTTGTGGTACCCATGCCTTATATCCTAATGTATTTCTGACTCTCTAAGCAGTCTGCTAGGCAAAGATGCTCTCTGCTTTTACTGTCTGTTGCTTGGAAAGTCCACCTACTGAATGAGCACACTGAATGAGTGAGAACTCATACTTCTAATAATTTTTTATTTTATGTGCGTGTTGAGTATATGCATGTATGTATACCACAGATATGTCTGTGCCCATGGAGGCCAGCAAAGGGTGCCAGACCCCCTGGAACTGGAGTTACATGGGGTTGTGAACCACCTAACATTGGCACTGGAAATCAAACCCGGGTCCAGTAGAAGAGAAGAACAGCAGGCGCTGTTGGCCACTGTGTCAACTCTTCTGAGAAACAGTTTTTTTTTCTTTACTGCCAGGAGTTCACAGCTCATGCTTGATAAGCGCAACAACAATTTCAGAGCCTTTGGATTGGGCACCACCTGACATGGCCTAGTAATTCCTGTCCTCATTATATGAGGGAATACCTGAAACATGAAACTTAAAGGAGGAAGGCTTCATGTTAACGCAGAGTTCCAGAGTACAGCCAACCATGGCAGGGAAGGCATCCATCAGGACAAGGGAAGCATGGTGGTGGGAAATTGTGTAACAGGTCGCATTTTGTCTACAGTCAGGAAGCAGAGAGAAATGAATGCTGGTACTCTCTTCATTTTTTCCTTTTCACTGAGTCTAAGGTCCCATCCCATAAAAAGATGCCACCCAAGTTTAGGCTGTGTCTTCCGACCGCAATAAACCCAGTCTAGATAACCTTTGACATCAACTTGACATTTAGGTGGTTCAAGATCCTATCAGATTTACTAGTAGTCTCAACCATCACAGTAAAATCATGTGGCCTCTTTGATCCACGGGCCAGGTGAGCAGGTGCCACTGGGGTGGAATCATTTCATGATGCGTGCTTATTGATGTATAAGATGAATGATGTGTTTGTCATTCAGAGTCTGCAGTGATTAGGAGCATGTCACAAAAATAGGCCTTGGGTTCTTGAAGTCCAGGACTCAGGGGCTAGATAAACATACCTGCGAGAGAAATACAACTGAGCACATCTCTCATAAGACAGTGTCTCATACTATTCAGCCGAGAGTTACTGTTTTCTTGCCACCTCCTCCTTCCTCTTATAGATTCTAGAAGGGCAGTAAGCATGTCTAATGTTCCTGTTGTTTTGTTTTTGTATTTTTCTTCTCCCTCTATGGATACATCTCTCTTAAAGATTCTGTAGAATAATCAGCCTGCTTAGAATACGGTGACTGTGAATGGTTAGATTGTTGCTGTGTGCAGAGAGACAAAATGATCTTTGGCCATCTCTTGTCCCTTCATTAATTTTTTTAAACCCTGGTTTATTTATGTGTTCCATGATATATGGGTGGAACTCAGAGGACAGCTTGGGCCAGTCACTTCTCTCCTTCCACTCTCTGTGGCTTTGAGATCCAACTCAGGTCACCAGGATTGGGAGCAAGCACCCTTATCTGATGAGCCACCTCACTTCCCCTCGTTAGTGTCCTTAATAGTCACCTCTCTGGTCCTGACCCTTACATCCTTGTGATTCATCAGGTCAAACCTACAGAATCTGTAGTTTCTACTAGCAATCTAGTTTGCTGCTAGAATCTGATGCTAGCTTCCACCAACCACAAGCTAGGGATGAGATAGCATCTGAAGCTCCTACCAGTGCTTCCCCTGGTTACTGTAACCCTCCTTTCTGAAGTCCCTGCTGATGTATCTGGTTGACGGGAAAGCTGATTCCTTTTACACTGTGGCTATAGCAGTTCAAACCATTTACATGGTGGAAGGAAGTAGATCGGACTGCTTCCCTGGTGGAACTCGGGGAAGCCCAGAGAATCCTTACGCCCAGACTGTGGACACTCAGAATAATCCTCTCCCATCAAATTCCCAGCTGTTGCAGCTGTGGGTGGTCCAGGGCACACCTTTGAGAACTGTTGGCTTACAGTGTGCTGTGAGCCCTGAGATCAAGCATCACTGCCTCGAGGCCACTAGAGGACACCATCTTA